TCCTCGTCATCGAATTAACATGAAGGTTGAAAGGATTATCACTTTGATATCCTCTGCTGGTCAAACTGACATTGTATAAGTACTACAGCCAAGGTGACAGTCAACTGGGCAAAGAAAGAATATTTACCTGTTGAATTCAAACGTACTCTCCTAGTTCAGTTCTAGTTGGTTAACGTCGTGACTAGTTCAGCAGAGAGATTCATCTTGAGGGACAAAAATCTGATGAGCTATTCATTGATCCAGTAGAGGCAAACATCCACTTGTCTAAGCAGGTATATATATATATATATATTTCTGTGTCTTTAAGAAAGATTGCTTTCACTGTCCATCAAATGTGCCCTATATGTTTATTTCTCACTCATCTTAAAACTCAGTTATATTATTAAACACAGATAACTCTCCTAATTTCTTGATCGTGTCTGCTTTTTTGATGTATCTAATTATTTGATACAGTTATTGCCAATTATAAAATAACAATTTCATTGTAGTGCTAACATAGTGCCCCGCATGGCCAGGTGGTTAGGGCGCTTGACTCGCAATCGTGTAGCGAGTTGGCGGTGGGTGGTGATGACTAGCTGCCTTCCCTCTAGTCTTACACTGCTAAATTAGGGACGGCTAGCGCAGATAGCCCTCGTGTAGCTTTGTGCGAAATTCAAAAACAAACTATCTATCTGGTAGTTATTTTGATGAAAAATATATCCAAAGAAATAATTAATCATCAGGGGGTGCTCGAAGATTAAGCAATCTTCCTTCGCCGTACTCAAGGTATTGGTGAATTTAGATCATATAGATTAATGTCCATAGAGGCCAATAAACTAAATTATTGGAAAGAGTTAAGGTTTTAAATAAAAATTAAAAATCTAAACGTGTCTAAAAGTGTCTTGAAAGTTATAAACCTAAATATTTTTCTTAATTTCTCTACACCTCTGATTAAGAAGCTGAGCGAACAAATTAAAATATACGTGAAATAAAATATGCAGTTTACATGATTTTTATTACAAATGTTAGACATTATTTGTTAACGTCTGCTTTCGGCGTTTAAATCATAATGTCTTGAAAGTAAATTAACTTATATTTTAATGTTATAACACTTCAATTGTTACTTGATTTTATCATTAAACTAAGTTTTAATGTTTTCAAAGAGCTATTTATAGGATAATACTAATAGATATATTTCAGTACAATGCTGCGACTCTAACAGTGAGACGTGATCATGTACATCATTCAAAGTATAAATAAGTTCAAATTATAAATACATCTCATCAGATAATTGTGTTTATGATTAAACTAGTTCCATGTGGTTTTTTAATGTAATTAACCTAATACAAATATAACGGTGTTCCTGAAGGCGGGAGAATACCACAGTTATATGTTTTGACAAATTGCGTAACATTTTCGATGTGTAGGATCACCAAAAATCGATCTTGGAATTCGATTGCGGAAATGATACTAAACAAAAGTACTAATGATAAGTATTTCACATCTTTTGTAGAGCAAAATATTAAGTATAGATGAAGATGTGGTTTGCTTAAAGATCGATGTATCAGCTAATATTAACTATAAATTAAGTACTTTAGATAACTAGCATTGCAATTGTAAACAGCTTCACTCAGAATGCGTTTAAAAGATATTGCATCAATCTAAAACATCGGGTATACTTTTAGGTTCTGATACGATTTTACACAAACGGAAAAGTCCCATTGTGTAGTGAAGCACACAGTGGAGTTAATAACATCCTTCACTGGACAGAAGTTTTGATTGTACTTCAATTATATTTTTTATTTAACCTGTTACTAAATATGATTTCTTTGGTTTCTCTACTATCTTTTACAATTTGTTTTCCTATATTAAATAATAATTGATCTACATCATTGAGTGAGATAATAGAGCATATGTTCTTTAGTATGAAATGCTTTAGTACGACTTACTTGATCAATAGAATTAAAGGATTAACTTTCACATGATTTTTCAACTTAGTAAATTTATCGTAAAAATTTATTCCGAAACCATCTCCGATATCATATACGTTTTTTGCATTCTTTCGTGACAAATTACTTTCTTTGTCATCATCGCTATCTTAAATTATGGCCAAAACTTCATTATTAAGTACAACTACGTCATTGACATTCACAATATTTTCATTGTAATTTGATGTGGTCGTTTTCTTCTACCGTTTGTTGTATTTGCTAATACAATTTTTGACTGCTTTCCTCCACACCTCCGACTCAATTTTACAGAAATCGATAATCCATCATATTTACGACAACAACGAGAGTACGTTAAGCATTTTAACATCTAAACCTTTTACCTTTGCAGGACAAAGGCTCCATTTTGAACTAGAATTGCAAATTTTTCTCGACAATCGTAACTCATTTCGAACCATCGATTTGGAGAAGTCAGTGTTCTACTGAAGCTAAAAATAGGTTAAATCGTCGTATTTTTAACAACGATATTGTTTAACAAAAGAAAATCGAAAAAAAAAACCAACTAATTCTGCAACGGGTTATATTTTCCCAACTACGATGAGCTTACCCAATTTACTGATACAGGCAGTGTTAAAACATAAACAAAAGAAAGAATATTCTCAAAACATAATTGATGACGCATTCAAGAAAACAATTAACTTAACCAAGAAAATGCAGACAAAAAACAAGAGAATTGGTCAGAACCCACAAGAAAAGCAGGAAAAGAAATGTAGTTATTATCAGTAAAAGAATTAATTAACTTATGGTACGAATTAAGTAAAAAACGTAATTATTCTAGGAACTGATATTAAGTTTCTACCCAAGATATATAATAATGAAAAATAATGCCAATGGCACAGAATACGAAATAGAATCTTTAGACTGCAAAAGTTTCTATATAGGAGAAACAAGCAGAAAAATAAAGGTCAGAGGCAAAGAACATGAAAAACGAAAAAGAGTCAAGTGTAACTGAAGATGATTGAAAAACAACGCGAAATAAAAAATTAAATATTAAATTTTATGAAAAGCCATAAAAGAAAAAAATTCGAAGCGCTAAGAGTCAAAGTCGTTGTGTTAGTTACTTTAATAACCAGATGGAGCTAGTACCCTCATAAATAGTTATTTAAAAAAAAAAAAAAGAAGACATATTTGTAATTTTACTGTTTTAAGATATCATGTCTCACTGTGAGAGACGATTTTTGTTTGTTTGTAGTTAAGCTCAAAGTTACATAATTGACTATCGGTGCTCTGCCCACCATAGATATCGAAAACAGGTTTCTAGCGTTTAAGTCTGCATACATCCCGCTGTGCCACTTGGGGGCGTGAGAGACGAAACGTTGTACATAATCTATTTGTATTATTCCAGAAATAGCCGTTCTGTTCGATAATTATGAGGGTTCCTCTCGAAAAGAGAGTACATCTGAAAGTATTTCCTACCTGTAACCTTCGTACATTCCATATTTTATTAGGCACTCACTGGTTTGACTTTAAAAAAAGATGAAGATTAACCATAACACTTTTTCATTAATATGTGCAAAAATATAAGCATTGAAATATCATTACGTAAACATATTGTTTTTAGTTGTTTCCGTATATCCCAAATTATAAAATTATTTGCCATTGTGTAACAATAAAAGTCATTATTATTCTTTACTAGATTTATTAAATAAAGTAAAAGACTTCAATACTTTTAAATGCCCTTGACTTAATGGCACACCAACACAGGTGAAGGTTGACAAATTAACTGGCACCTACTTTAATCGTATTATGATACTATACTGAAATCAGATCAGTACGAACTTGAGTTGTTAAGTTTAATGCCTCTATCTGAAGCGAGTATCGTAAATCATGATTTTTATTTGTAAACTACTCTTCTCATAGGATCATTTTCAAGCAAATATAAAAAGTCAAAAAAATATATTCACATATCAAACAACATAGAGGTATACAATGTTCTTCTTGATATACTTTTATTTCAAGTCTTTAGGATAGATGCACATAAACACACACAAAAAAGCCATGGTGTAGTTTAGCCATACTGTTTAATGAGCTGTGGCTTTACAGTTCAACTAAATATTAATAGAATTTTCCAAACACTTCAAAATTCACACCAGTATTCTTAATATTATGTATACTATGGTTTCTGAATAGATTAAGAAACGAAGGTCTTTACAACAACATTAGCAACAAAGCATAGCTGCCAATTAAGCTTACACTGAATAAAAATACCATGTCTCAGGCTCCAAACCAAATGTTATGAGTAAATTCTGAATATCTATGCTTAAGAGCTATTAATTAATGTGTGCAAAGTTGTTTCATTCCAAGTTATGACCTATAATCTACACACACTGCATAAATTCACCACAATCACAATCTTGTATATTGAATAAGGTTGTAAAGTACAACATACAAAGAACGTGTAAGTGGAATGTAACTGTGGTTGGTTTACATCATAAATTTAAATTAGAATGGTAAAAACAGATAGGAAAAAGTCAGTGCTGTTAACGTATGAAGAAAATAATACATTTTTTTATAGTTATAAGAAGCATCAATACATATACATGGTCTCTGATATACTTTGAATACTACCAGAATAACATCTGAGCTGTTATCTAAATTTTTATAATATCTCTGAAAGGAAACTGTGTGTAAGGTAAGGCTTCTTGTAACTTTTCTTCTTTTGATACTTGCACATGCTCTTTGTTGCCTTCAAGTGATTGTGCTAGACAAACCCATCCTGGCAATTCCTGTAGAAACATGCTGGAAAAATTAAATCACAATTATATGTTGTATAATATTCTTAATATACACTTTCCTATAAAAAAATAAATCAACCCCCCCCCTTTTTAATAGTGAAAAAGAAAGCAAAATGTAATTTTTTTCATTAAATTACAAGAAAAAAGAAATGTACAAACAGTGACACATATTTAGCTAAAAATAGACTAAGATTAACTAAAAGTACTCGGATCAATAAAAGTAATCCTACTTGTTATTAGGAAAGAGCTATCATCACAAGAAAATATTGTATTAAAACACTGTTGGAGAACAATTCTTTAACTTCTGGTCCAGTTTAAAGTTTGTTCCTCTAGTGTAGCTTCTGTTCGAATAATGATCACTTGTTTATTTACAAAGCGAGAAATATTCCAAACAAACTATATTCTTACAGAGCAAAATTAAGAAGTGGCTTGGAAATAAGTAAAATATTATTGAACTAAAGCCTAAAACAACTTTCTTAGTTCGGTGAATTCAATGCTAAATATTTACACGTACTATCATTCTTAACTTGGATAATGAATTAAAAACACTCACTTATATAATTTTCCTCATTCTTCTATTAGAGCGATACACTTGTTAGAAAGATTTAAAAACTCATATCAAAACTACATTATTAGTGTTTGAATCACAGTGACAGCACAACACGTCCACTTAAAAACACTCACTTATATAATTTTCCTCATTCTTCTATTAAAGCGATACACTTGTTAGAAAGATTTAAAAACTCATATCAAAACTACATTATTCAGTGGTTGAATCACAGTGACAGCACAACACATCCACTTAAAAACACTCACTTATATAATTTTCCTCATTCTTCTATTAGAGCGATACACTTGTTAGAAAGATTTAAAAACTCGTATCAAAACTACATTATTCAGTGGTTGAATCACAGTGACAGCACAACACATCCAGGGATGAAATAGGGAGGTTGGCATTAGTTTAACATGTGTTAACCATCATTGTATATTATGGATAGTAACCTAAATCAGTGGGTCAATTTTGTTACAATATATATATATTATATATATATATATATATATAAACACACACACTCGCACAGAGAGAGAGAGTTGTATTAAAAACATATTTAATAAATGATTGTAAACCTAGTAGTTTACACTAATACTTTTTGGTTAAATGAAAATGTTAAACTTTGAGGCTAAGCTAAAGTTACTTATTTTGTGTATTACAGTTTATTAGATTTGTACTAGGTTGTGGTGGTGATGATAGCATGGAGTTCTTTTGTGATTCAACAATTCTTACATTGTGATTGACTCAGCAAAAATATGTTTAAGCAAATACATGTTACATCAGTCTGATGTATGCTTCTATAAACCATTAGATTTGTAGTTTCAAAACACTTGAACAAATTTGTGTTTATATATATATGGAGGGAGAGATTTCATTATTAATGAAACTATTGTTTAATATTTTATACATATATAACCTTTCTTTCAACCTGTTATATATCTATAATAGTTGAAATATTACTTTACAAAATGAATAAACATAGGAACCATAGTTATTGAGTAATAAAACTGAATTTTAAAGTTTTGTACTAGTCCACTCCATATTAACATAGTTTATGTCTGATAATTTAATCATTGAGTATTAATAAAGACTTGGACAACAGAGAAACCATAAAATATACTTACTATACATGATATTTTTCATACATTGATATTTGATATATGGAAAATATCATGTATACATTAAGGTTTAAAAATACTTTGTGTGTGTGTGCATGGTAGGAATAAAAATCACGTAAGTTGGGAGCTCTTTCGTATAATTGTAAAAGTAAAGTTAATAAAAAATTTGTGTGTAAAGTTCTGGTTATGTAAATAATAAAATCATGGGCTCCAAGGGTACATGCCAGGTTTCTTCTTGATAAATATTGCTAACCACATTACATAATTCAAGGTTTCAGTCATTCACAAGAGAAGCTTTTCAAGAACTAATGAAGTTTGAAATTTCATTCATAAAATTGAAAACAAGTATATTTATTATTACTCGTAAGGTAATATCCTGCATCAGATTCATGTTGTACAGCTCCCTGGTGTATACTAATTTCTATAAACTACAAATGATGACAGTTGACAATAAGTGTTATTTTTACCTTTCATACTTTGCCTTTACTACAGAAGTTTTTTTCATGTAATAAATCTGAATGGAATAATATGACTGAGCCTAACAATTATACTATTATTACATTAAGTTATTGATATCTGGGTAAATCATAAAACTCAGCAACTCTAGTTTGGGCCTCTTTTACTGTTTAAACACAGTAAACAACCAATGTAAATATTCTGATATTTCTTCATTTAAAATTTCCCTGATTTTTTCCTTGCTTATGGTACAAAAAAAAAAAATGAACACTACCTTAATAAAAAAATTAAGCTACATGAAAATAATAAAATAAAATTGTAAGGTATGAATTTGACAACATAACATAATATTTTGGGACAAAATGAAACCCATTGGTCCATCTCGACCATTCCATCCTCAAAACTAAATTAAAATAATTTTTAAAAAAAATTTAAACTTAGCCCTTTTCATTCATATACTTATCAAGCTTTTTCTTAAGCTCACTTAAATTTACTGCCTTTACAACATCTGAAGGCAACCCATTCCAAAGCCCAACCACCCTC